TATATAGTAATCACTCACTGGAAAAACTTAACCATGGGTTCAACTAAAGGAACATGTATTAGTAAAACACTAAGTAATTAATCACAAACCTGCCAGTTTCTGCACTTGACAACAAAATCTCCGGAAAGGGAATAAGATTTTTGTGTTCAGCCGATAGTATCATTCTTATGGCCTGATGATCCTCTTGGATCACAGCATAGGTCAATGCATCTTTACAAACATCTTTGCTCTGTTGTAACATGAACTGTAAGAAGATAGCAATGAAAAATTGTGGAAAAATGAATCTTACTTACAGTACCACAAGAGTGACTCTTCCTGTTACTTTGAAAAAGTATTTCATTTTCATAATTTAAAACAAAATGTCATCACACTAGATGCACAAAGGTGTTTGAGTCAGTACAAATAATTTAGTTTCATTCGTACTGTAAGAAAAGGTTAGTTAACAGTAACTAGAATATTTCTACACCATATTTTTATTTTAATGATAGTTTGGTAAGTCACTTTCAAAAGAAATTCTCAAAGTTAAACCCAACTACTTGAAAAAACATTGTTTTTATTACAGTGAAAGCATTGTTTGATAACTTTTATCATTATTAATACTAATAATCTTGCAAAAAAACAAACATAGAAAACAATCCATAAATCTATTACCGAACAAATATGTTCCTTGTCAGACAACAACGTTTGGAGCAGACAATGATCCTTCAATCGAACTGCTCGAATAAGCAATTTACTATAAGTTACAGAAGACACAAAGGGTAGAGGTTCCCTAATGTAATAAAAGCAAAACACACAAGTTAAAGTAACAAATATGTTAAATAAATTTTACCTACACACAACTTTGCTTTAAAATGCCTGTAAAATCATTTTTAAGAAGCAAATTAAAAATCAAAACTTCACATGAATACAGTTTAAATTTCTATTATTATCCTCTCTTTAGAAGTTTGTGAACTTCTATGACAAAGGAAGTATTATGGGAGTATGAACATAAAAACATATCCCTATAAAGGTTTATTTTAAACAATGATTTTCCATGCTATATTCAGTTTTTTCATGTGTTTTGGTTATTTTGTCAAAACAATTTTTAGTTGTCACAAGTTCCTATTCCACAGACATATTCATTTTCCAATAAATTGGTAGAAAGTTATAGGTGAACTTTAGCTACACTTTCAAACTTATAACTATATGTGTATTAAATGCATTTGTCATTATGCTACATCTTTGTATATTCCACTGTTTGAGGATAGAATAAATAATAACAAGTGCAAGTTGTGTTTGTGAAACACTTATGCCCCCCACAAATATTATACTGTACATTTAAGTCCCCCAGTTTGATGATGTAGTACTTGTCCACAAGACTGGGGTGGATTTTCTATGTACCAGTGACCTTTTGACCTTAACCTTTGACCCATGACCTTCAAAAGCAACACAGATCTAGAAATTTTTATGTAGTACCTGTTGCATATGTTTGGTCAAAATCCATCCTGAACACAAGACTGGGACATATGAATAGACAGACAGATGGATGGAAGACATAAACAAATCAGCAATCAATTAGCTGAACTACTATTTTCTTAACTTTCTCTTACTTCAGTGTTTTTGTTGTATTTTGACTGAACCCTTCACTCCATACATTGTTTACGTACTGTAAACTTATTGACAAGTTTTGAGTTCACATTACATGTGTTATACAGGTATATATAAATGTGTCACGTATTTCTGATATAGAAAGCTAATAAAAGTTTTTAATTAAAAATCTGTAGATTAATTACAGAAGTCTACAACTTGTCCAAGGTAATTGGGCAATGACATAAGAACAAAGTTTAACCATGTAACTTTGGAAAGAGGGATGAAGCAGTTATCTGACATCTAATGAACTATTTGTATATATGTTACTGTTGACAAATTTCAAAATAGTTTTATTTCGGAGAATTCTGCAAATACAAGTCTTAAAATAGCATTAGCATTGTTGTGTTTTGTGAAGGTTTTAAACATTTCTGTAAGTAAGCATGTTAAATCATCAGCTGCTACCATAGGAATCACTCTGCATAAAAAACATTGGTTGCATTAAAAGTGAAAACCATAAACTTAACATTGAGGTAATAAACTCACAACACAAAATAAAACAGAATTAACTGACACTTTACTTTAAATATAAATCTAAGCTATCAAGAAGGTACAAGTTCTACTGAAAACATTCTTACCAGTTAATTTTAATACTATATAAAATTATAAAAAATTTTATGTCAAGGATACAACTGAAAAAACCAAGCAAAATTAATAAAGGTACAAATTATTTTATGAATATATATATATGATTAATTTAAAAAGATAGATCTTAATTATTTTATAACTACTGTATTAAACAACAATATTTCATGAACGTATCCTATTTTAGAACAAGGCATTTAGTTGTTGGCAGTTTTAAACATATTTTAGATGTTTATATTTTGTGTATTAATTCTCATAAAACCTAATAAAGATGTACAGTATTATTGATATATTGGTATATCCCGATGATATTTTGAAACAATACACATCGGGGTACTATTTTGGCATATTGGTGTATAGTACTGTCATATGTTCTCAAAAATGATGAATATAAACGCTTTATTTCATATAATTCTTATGCAAAATATGATTTGCCATTAAGGTTTGCTGAATCGCTAAATGATAAATTACACTATTGCCCCATGCATGGGATTGGCAAAGTATGTAAACCAAAGGTCTATGGGCATAGCAAAATAGCAGAAGGAACAACACAGAAATTAGTTTAGATTCTTCCCAACAGTGTGTCATGATATCCACAATGATTCAACCCTCTGTATTGTAATATACTGCAACAGAAAAAATAAACAGCTCTACAAATCTAAAACCACCAAAAATGCTTCAAGTTTACTTTCAATGTAACTTTTAGAGTATTATATGTAATTTAATCAAACCAATGTAGGAAAAATATCATAATCACAGAAACTGATGATGTAACAATTAAAAAATTTTTTTTATGAGTTTTGCTGTCTCCTGTGACCAAGTAGGAATGCTTAATATATACATATATGTTGTGCTTATTTGCCAAAACATAGTTATTATTTGCTCTTGTTCATTCAAACTAATCTATAAAAACAGTTTGTCCAGCTCTTTCTATATGCAGCACACAGCACCCTACTCTATTCCTGAGTCACGGTGTATAAACAACAAACTTACCCACCAGAATGTGACATGAAAAGTAATGGAAGGCAGTGCTAACTAATAATAAAAAAAATTAATTGTAAGAAAGGATTGCTTATTTCCTTCAATTAATGAAATAATTTTAAAAACCTTACTCTGATTCAAACATTGGGTTCTTTTCCTGAACATTAATCTTTGTGTTGGGCTTCAATTGTTCTTTTGGAACTTTGGACTTTTGTTTTAATGGTAAGGAAATTTTATGGCCATTCTTTTCTTCTTCCTTGCCTAATAAACGCATAAAGATTCAACAGAAAATTTCTGGAGTTTAAATACTGTTACTCTATTACAGAGAGAAAATAAAAACATAAAAGAACAAAGTGAACCATTAGAACATTCAATGCAAATGCAGTACCGTCCTACTGTCAATTTCTGATGTATTCTATAATTTCATATTTCACTTTATGAAATGTTTAGTACCTTTGGTTATTAAATAATATTTTATTTTAGCTTACCTCATGATTATTTACTGTTATTTTCATCACATCATGCTACAAGTTTTTGTATAGTTTCTGAGCCATTAATTATCTTTAGCTGTTATAAAATCCTGCTAATATGCTATTCTTGACCAATTAATTTCCATTATCAATCATATATAAGCTTAACCTCCAGAAGGTGATGTGCATAGTAAGGAAGGTAAACTGGTTTATACAAAATACTTTTGATAAACATAAGTCACTAGTTTGGTTCCTATGGTGACCTAAACATGAAGTAACAAGAAAATTAAAGTACTTTCAACAAATATTTGATTACCATGGTAGAAAGTAAGATATTGATCACAGAAGTGAACAATGTTAAAAATCTTAAATTGCAAATATGTTACAAAAAAATATGATTCTTGTAGTTAGTGTTTTTTTCAAAATAGAGAAAGGAAAAGAGGATACAATGGTGTTCAAGTTGGCCACTGAGTGGAGAAAAAAACTCACCAGAAGCACTTTTGAATTGTGTTTTAGCTGGTTCTTTGGATCTTGTTTTAACAGATTTAATAGTTTTTGATTTTTTCCCTGCAAAGAAAGCAACATGGATGAATAAATTATTATCAAAAACATAAATTGTACCTTAAATTGGAACAAAAACTTAAAACTGTTTAAAAAAAAGTAATTTCTATATTCTAACAGATCAGAAAAAACATATACAATCCTATTCTGTTTCCCTTACAAAAACCCAGATGAATGTCAGATTCATACTGATCTGCAATATTTTTGCCACATCTGGTCATATTTATACAAAATCTGACTATAATATTTCCATACCTGGAATATGCTTTGACAGTTATAGCCATTATTAATACCAGATTTGGAATACTGATTTTTTGCTAAGTATATTTGGTTGCTTTTATTTCTTAATGTTTCCAATGAATTAATATTTATATCAGTTAAATATTAAATTTTCTTTTTTCACATATATACTGATCATACAACACTATAAAAAATTAAATATTTTAATGGCAAAGAAATTTTACAACTTTTATTTCCTTCTTCTCTGCCTAATAAACATATAAAGTTTCAACAGAAAATTTATAGAGTTTAAATACTATTACTCTGTTTCAGAAAGAAAATAAAAACATAGAAGAAAGTGAGCCATTACAACATACTACTCAAATACCATACTGCGGTATTATCTATTTGTTTTGTATACTGTTATTTCATACTTGGGTTTATGAAATAATATCTTATTTTAGCTTTAGCTTACTTTTTAATTATTTACTATGTTATTTTTCATCACGTCATGCAGCAAGTGTTTGCATAGTTTCTGAGCCATTAATTATCTTTAGCTGTTATAAAATCCTGCTAATATGCTATTCTTGACCAATTAATTTCCATTATCAATCATATATATGCTTAACCTCCAGAAGGTGATGTGCTTAGTAAGGAAGGTAAACTGGTTTATACAAAATACTTGTGATAAACATAAGTCACTAGTTGGGTTCCTATGGTGGCCTAAACATGAAGTAACAAGAAAATTAAAGTACTTTCAACAAATATTTGATTACCATGGTAAAAAGTAAGATATTGATCACAGAAGTGAACAGTGTTAAAAATCTTAAATTGCAAAATATGTTACAAAAAATATGATTCTTGTAGTTAATGTTTGTTTCAAAATAGAGAAAGGAAAAGAGGATACAATGGTGTTCAAGCTGGCCACTGAGTGGAGAAAAAAACTCACCAGAAGCACTTCTGAATTGTGTTTTAGCTGGTTCTCTGGATCTTGTTTTAACAGATTTAATAGTTTTTGATTTTTTCCCTGCAAAGAAAGCAACATGGATGAATGAGTTATCATCAAAAACATATATAGTGAGTTAAACTGGGACAAATATTGAAGCTGTTAAAAAACTTTCAACTTGTAGATCAGAAAATATATACAATCCTATTCTATGTTTCCCATATAAAAAAATCCAGCCGTTTGTCTGATTTATAAAGATCTGGAATATCTTTGACAGATTTGGCCATAATCATTTCACATCTGGAATATGCTTTGACAGTCCTGGTTATCATTAATGCCAGATTTGGAAAACTGATTTTCACTAGTATTTTGGGTAGCTTTTTTTTCTTAATATTTCCCCAAAATGAATATTTATATCAGTATATATAGTCATTCCCAAAATTAATATTTATATCAGTATGTAGTCATGCATATAAAGGTTAAATTTTCTTTTTAATTAATACATTTTAAGAATATCAATTATAAAATTAATTTAGTTTAACCACCAAAAGTTATGCCAGAAGATCAATGCACAGAATCATGTGTAAGTAATATGTGCCATTGAAATACGTTGTTACTGCAGCACAGCATTGAATAGTCCTTCAATTATTATTATTCTGTAACATAAAATTTCATGCAATTAATTTCTAACACATTTCATATATGAAACTTCATACTACTTATGTCAAACCATGACTTGGATTGTCTTTCAGTTATCATTTTTCTATAACACAAAATTCTAAGTAATTATTTCTAACATGTTTTACACATGAGCTCTCCATACTATAAACCTAGGCCAAACTATGGTTTAGAGACAGATCAACAAAAATAGTCTGTTGTGTGAACAAACACATGGTCATACCAGGTCGCAAGATATGAGTGTACAGTTTACAGTTAGGTGCCCATTATTTATAGAAATTGATATTTGAGTGACAGTACTTTATATTGTTGTTAACTTTGAGTGTACTATTACTGTTGTCAAAAAATGGAAATAAAAAGAAAAGAGATTGAACAATCTCCTGAATATTATGTATATCAACTGGTGAAAAACCACATAAATGGAATAAACTGTCATAAGTCTGATATTAGAGAAACTAGTTTCAACACAGTCTCATGTTGTCTTCGTGCTATTTTGTTCTAGGATTTTTTCCCGAGAAGTGGAATAAAAAAAAACCATGAAATGGGGTATACTTCCACATTTTTTTTATAGACTTTTGTTTTTGAATTTAAAGGCACAAGTACTTAGGAAGTTAAATAAAGATCAATAGGAATTTAATAACAAAAGAAATAAGGAAAGGGAACATTATCTAATATTGTCCTCAGTTCGTGTGTGTAACATCTAGTATTTTTAATATCCCATCAAACATTTGGTAGTTTCTGGAAAATATCTGAAAGAAGAACTCAGTTAACATATAAACATATAAATCAAAACAAAACTCAGCAAGGTTTTTGCTTACGTCATTAATTTTCAAATTATTATGTAGCTTTCTCTCAGTTAATTAATTTTGTTAAATCCTCTTTAACTTTTTACTGCCACGCTGGGAAAAAAAAAATTATTTGTATCTCTTTATAGTTATTTTCTACATATGCAAAAAAAATTGAAACATTTTTCTATTTCGTAATTGATAATTAACACATTTTTGACCTTGTACAGTGTACAGAATGTCACTCTAAGTGGTAAACTGGTCAGCTGCAGCAAAACCGTGACCGGCCTTACTATGGCTAGTGGAGAAGAAGAAAAGTGAAGTATAACAACTATTTGTATACACATGCTATTATATTATGATACTTTGGATTATATTTGCATTGGATGTATATGCATGCATCTATACAACTTGAAAATGTCATATAGCTATCAATAAATATATGGTTTTACAACTTAGAAAAACTATAAAGTCTGCATGTATGCATGTGTGTGTGTGTGTGTGCATGCATGTATAAAACTCATGCAGTTACAAATTCCAGATAATGAACTATTCCAATATAGTTTAGTAGTCCTTCCAATCCAGTGTTTACAGACTCCCCATATAACTTCAGGATATAAATATAGTAGCTATGTATATTTTACAAGCATATACATAACAAGTAGTATGTTGATTACCATGCATCATAGCGATCATACATACAGTGCCACTATCAATAATAACATTGTGGAAAGGATATCAGGAGCAATAGCCATCCAATCTGCATGAAGCCAATCCAAAGGTTGTCATTGTATTACAAGGGAGCACCATACACCAACTACATATTTCATTAAACTAAACTGTTTAAAATAGGACAGTATTGCTATTATACAGATTTATGTCCATGATGGACATAAAAAAAAACTAAAGAAATAAGATTATTAAAAATTGTTCATTTATAATGGGGGAAAAGGGATATTCAAAAAATTACAGAAATAAGATAGGTAGCTTAAAGTGAAAACGTAACTGCAAAAAATTAAACAAACAAGCTTAAGGTTTGAAACATAGTGTTAACATTATTTCCTCAAGCTACAAATCCATATTTTGACTCCATATCTAAACGTTGTAATATTTAGTAGAGTTAAAACATGGATTTGTAACTTTAGGAAATAATGTCAACACTATGTCTGAAACTTTAAGCTTGTTTGTTTAATTTTTTGCAATTGCATTTTCACTTTAACCCTCTCTGCCCGAGCATCATTTACTGCGCATGTCACAAGGTTTTAGTAGCTTACATTCAAAATTTTATTAAACTACTTTTTATGTTATACCAATTAGTATAGCATAAAATCATAGCTAATAATCAACATTTTAATAGTTATAAGTTTTAAGTTCTTAATTTTATAAGGCAATATTTAAAAAAATCCTGAATTTCCCCTAGTGTGTGAAAAATGACACATTTTCTCTAGGCATCCCATCTTCTCTATTTGACCACTTGTATAGAGTTAGGTTAGAGAAAATACCAGATGAAATATAGTTTTACTGAAAACAAACATTTGAAATGTATTTAGTGATTATACAAATGAAATTTGAGATTTCTGAGATGAAGTATTTTTATTCTTAACATGAAAATCACTTTACACATGAACTAGACAAAACAAATACTCCATATATTCACAGACAAATCTTTTTTTTTAGTTTATTAAAAATTCTTCATTAGAAAATTGATTTTTTTATGGGAAAGACTTGTAATGTTTTCTGAAAGTCTACCAAATTTGGTGAAGATATACAAACTACATTAAAAGTTAGTAGTATCAAAACTATAAAAACTGTAAATGACTACAAAGAGGTCACATGGTTGGTCAACTTTACCAAGCCCGTGTTGAAAGAGTTAAGCTACCTATCTTGTTACTGTAATTTTTGAAGATCCCTATTCACCCCTTTTTAAATGAACCATTTTTAATAATCTTGTGTTATTGGAGTTTTGATCTTGTTTATTTAATATCTTACCTTTCACCAACGCTACTGCACAGAATTTTAATTTTATCTATGATATGGGAAAATTGGTCTTTACTATTAGTACTATGGTCTTTACTTTAATTTAATCCACAAAACATTCTTTGCATAGTTTGACCTATATTTTACATAAATATAATAGAAATATTTGATATTTTGTGATCAGCAGACCTGGAACTTTTCTCAGATTTGGCATATATATTCTGGTGCCTTTTCCAGTTATGCAACTTTTTTCAGAATTGACCAGATATGTCCAATTCCCTACCTAAACAGATCTGACTTTTCAGATATGGACCGAATGTTATATTCTTATAATGGTTTATAAAAGAAAAATTTTAACCACTCTTGGTTAAAAAAGAAAACTTAAATCTAATTCTTGATACAACAAATCTTAAGAGAATAAAATATATTTGCCTAATTCTGTAGATTTCGAGTTTCTCTGTTGTACTGTCTTACCCACTTTGTCCTTTTTAGATCGCCCTTGGTCTTTATGCATGCTAGGTTTGTGGGTTTTGGGAGTTGCTACACTTTTCTGACTAGCTAGATCTTCCTCTTCAGTGGTTGAAATAAAGCCTGAGAAAAGTAACAATGCTAACAACAAAACATGATACATTAAATGTGTGTTAAACAATTTGTATTTGATTAAAATGTCAAATGAATAAAAAATAGTGCTTCCCAATGTTAGATAAATTTAAACTAATTATATAAAATCATGTATGTGTTCTACAGGGATCTATTTTATTGTGTCACAGTCAAAGACATCAGTTATATATTTTATAGGTGAATCTACTGTAGGTCTATCTGATAAATCACAAATTCTTGAAATAAAATCTGTTTATTTATATGTTTTGACCCGATGACTACCGGCTACTAACGTTCTTAGTAGGCAATGCAAGTTTTGCTATATTTCATTCCAACAATAAAACTAGTGGACAAATATGTTCGAAAGTTCATAAGTACTTTGACAAATGTAGGTAGTTTAAGAAACATAAAGCCTATTACTTTTAATAAGTTTAGTTTTTTTGCATTATGATCTTTAATATCTTGGAAAATTACATTAGGAAATGGTATTTATAAGAAATGATTACAACATTTATATTTGCTATAGATTTGAACTTATTACGTTTAATGTTTTAGAACATTATTTTGAAATCCCCAAAAAATTGTATCCTCCATAAAATGCAAATTTTATCTATTTGTAATTTTTTTAATAATCACATATACTTCTTATGGTTTCAAGTAATATACAGACCCATAAATAATAGTTGTAAATAAACCTAAACAATAAATGAGTATTTTTATTTTTAACTAGGATTTCATGTTTATATATGTACGTAAAAACATTTTAATTTTGTTTCATAAATATATTTTTATTTCAAATTTATGTTTAAGTTTCATTGCAGTCGTACTTTTGTGTTTATTGTGCCGAATAAACCGTGGGGTCAGCAGCGTGAACTTCGTATGTTGTCCGTAAACTATCTCACCCTTTTTAGTGGCCACTCTCGTTCAACCGAGCGCGTGCGCATTTGAACGTTACTGTAGATATGATACTAAGAAA